TATATATATATATATATATATATATATATATATATATATATATATATATATATATATATATATATATATATATATATATATATATATATTATATATATATATATATATATGTATATATATATATATATATATNTATATATATATATATATATATATATATATATAACATACGTGTGCACAGTGCACACACAAATAAACAGTCAGTTTAATATGTACTTGATGTAAATATTGCGTGTCATCCCCTTTTGGCTTTACATCCTCTCAAAGTGTCATTCATTTGAAGCTGTCCACACGGGCACTGGTCCAGTCAAACGCTGTCAAAGTGAAAGCAAATAGAAATTCAGGACAGTTTTTTCGCGGCTCACATCAGCTGCGGAAATCAGACTTTGCTATGCGCGCGGAAGATTAATATGTATTGCAAAATTACGGTTTCTAATACTTGTTTTGAATGACGTAGCCTCCTCACTATGGCACTCCTCGAAAACTCAGCCAGGCGGAATTACGTTTTCTGTCTTTTGGCAACGGTAGAAATGTATCTGCAGAATTGACCCTCACAGAAACCTGACCATTTGACAGAAATTGGACACTTGGTTAATCAATTTTGGCTTCAAAAATCAGAATTTGGTGAGTTTGCGACTTGGTATTCCGGGACAGTTCTGGTCCAACCTTTGGGGTATGAGGTGCCGGCCTGAAGTCCAGCTGCTGGATGCTCGTGCGTATGTATTTATTCTCTCACCGTCTCACGAATGATTTTTTTGCGGAAAGCATACCGATGTTGCGGACAACTACGACAATATTTATTAAGGTAATTTGGTATATATTCCTATATTGCGTGACCAGTGTTGCCACACGCACTTAGTCTTGGTACTATATTCTCAGACAACCACAAGGAGACGTATACGGTCGTTTGATCTGACAGACAGACAGAATCTTGTATACCACCATAATAAAAATATATAAAATGGCTAGAACGTCTAGCATACCCGCTACAAAACAACCTGACCACAAGGTATGATCCAACACCGTAGCATTTAGCCTACAATGTAATTGCATTCTCCCTCTTTTTGCATGCTACTGTTAAAAGGCCTCTGGTATTATACACAGCACTTTGATATCGTGATTAAGGTACTGGTGTAGATGTTGTATATTTGCTGCTTTTAGTGTGCACCTGAGAGCTGCGCATTTATTCTGACTTTCCAACTTTTTGTATTCGTGCATACACAGGCCAGTATGACACATACGGAAGAGGTCCAGAGGAGACTGCAAGGCCTAACTGCGGCCAGCAAGTACTCGGAGGATGAAATAAAGGCGATGGTCAGCCAGATTAAAGAAGTCTCGCCAGAGCTCAAGGACGATATAATCCTGCAATGCCTGCACGAGAACGAATACAATGTACAAGACACCGCTATTAGCATCCTTGATGGTAGGTGGTATGGGACTGTCACCTGTGTGTGTATGTGAGGGTGCTATGTCTACGCGAATATTCAGGATGCAGAGATACTGGGCTTGTATCTCTACATACCATACCTGTCTAGTGTACGAGCGAGCTGTTTTGGACACTTCTTCGTGTATATTTGTTTAGTATTCCGATATTGTTTGTGTTCTCATATCCAGATACCTTCTGTTGTTGCAATGCCCTTTGCTCTATTGTAGCTAGAAGTTGTTGCTTCGTGGTAGTCTGTCTAGGTGTACTATCGTGTCTACCTTGGATCCGGTCGTGAGAAGTCATGTGGACCTTTTCTTGCGTGAATAGATAGCTGGTGACATCCTGTTCATTGATAGGCTTTCGGATAGCTTGAACATATTGAGTTTCCATATACGAACTAGTTTTTCTGAATTTTCCCGCTTTTGTGGGATGCGTGTGAATGTCGCGACCGCCTTTTGTGTTGTAGATCGGCCTTCAGATGGGCCTCCTAGACCACACCAGTTTTTTCTCGATATATACTATCACAGTCAAGTTTTATACTATCTATATCAGTTTGTCGCAGTGCTGCAGTCGTATCCTTGATTGGGGTTATTGATATGCGAGATCGTCTGTGGTCTATATGTAGCGGTGCGGTGATCTCTACATGTGCTTATAGGCAGTGGGATTTGTAATATCTGTGGGATTGGTTATATCTTCCTTAGCATGTCTTTTGCATGTATACGGTTTTTGAATTATTGCCTGTCGCATTCGCAATGCCAGCTTGTTTTTAGGAATTGGTTTTGTAGTTTGCCAATATCATCACATGGTCGTTTGCATGCATCACGCTGTATCAAGTGAAACCCCAAAAGTAACCACATTGTTTATCAATGGCTTCCATTCGCAAGCCATTCGCTATTGGAATATCAGGGGGAATTATTTCATGGGAGTGTTTCGTGACCCATGTATACACGTATATACGTATACACACCATGCGCACAATCAACAGCTACTACAGACCTAAGGGATTGTATGCTACAAGGTCTGAACACCTTAAGGAATGTCTGAGCACCGGTCGATAGTTGGATTAGAATACAGACATGTTGTTCTTTTATCTAATGGTCACGGTTGACTGCAAATTACACAGGCACGGCCGCACCCGTAGAAGAATCATGGACAGAGACCAAGAAGAAGCCCAAGAAAAGTAAGAACACAGGACCACCGCAGCACAAGCAAAGATATCCCAGGGACAACAACTACCACCACAACAACGACCAACAAAACCGGGGGTCGACGGGTGGCGGTGATCGGGGTCATCGAGGGGCCAATGGGTCGAACGCGCGCGGGGGCTACGCCAATGGGCAGCCACGGTCACATGCGAATAAGGAGAACAGGAACACGAACGTGAATGCAAGTGCGAGTGCGAGTGCAAACCACAGTAAGGCGGGTCAAGCACCCAATAGGAGCACAGCGCAGAGTAACACGGCCCAGGACGACGGCCAGGGATGGGGAGAGGCGGCCGTTGCAGCGGTGGAAGAAGGCGTGGAGAAGGTCACGACCGAAATTAACAACCAATGGGAAGCCGCCAGTTCCTGGGGAGAGCAAGTGGCCGGGTCGATCACTGGCAGTGAGCCTAAGGGTGTACAGGAGGTGACGAGTGGTGTGGCTAAGACTAATATCAAGAGCCAATGGGGTAGTAAGGATAAGTCAAACAATGCCAATGGCACCGCAGCAAGCACGGCTGCGAGTAGCACTACAGCACCTGCCGCACCGGGTGCTGAGAAGGGCCACAGCAACAGCAACACATACAACACCAACAACACTCGCAACAACAGCCGACAGAACAGCAACAAACAACAACCAGCCACCAAGCAGCAACAGCAATCACAGTACACACAGAAAGAACCGGAAAAGCCCAAGGCACCCGCTCCCAAAACATGGGCCAGCATCCTCATTCCCAAGCCTGAACCCACCCCCCCACCCCCTCCAGCACCTAAGCCAGTAGAGGCTCAGACGCCCCAAGAGTACCAACAAGCACAGGCCAAGACACCTATTGCCGCACCTAGCAACAGTAGTAGTACTAGCACTGAACAGCCCACACAACCACACACCACAGCCGACACGGCCTCCACATTCGCAGCGGAGGACAGCGAGGCACGGGAGGCGGAGAAGGCTGTCAATGCCACCGCTGAACTGGCGCTCAAGGACGACACCCCCACAAGCACAGCCGTTGAGGAAGCAGCCGCACCTGCACCCTCACACACCACACCTCAGTCTGCGGACACACAGGCACAGACACCAGAGGTGCCCAGCACCCCTGCGGCGGTGGGTACGCAGAAGCCCGTCTCACAGAAGGTCAGCCCTCCCAGCGAGCCGGTTACCATGCCAACGACTGCCAGCGCTGCGGTTGGGTCGGCTGGACTGGACTTGCAGTTCGGTAGTTTGGGCGGCATGAACTTTGATAGTATCATTGATTCTAATAATAGCTCGCCAGCTGTTGCGGCATCATACAACAGTGGTAACAGCAACACCGCTGTAGGTGGTGTATCGGACAAGACAACTACCAACTCGATGGCACCTGGGGCCAACAGCGCACCTTCCGGCCCAACTTCCGTGGCCCCGGTTTCACAAACAGGACAGGAGACAGGTAGTGAGAGCACACCCATTCAACAACAACAGGTCAAGCCTACACAGGCCGTGCAACAGCAGGAAATCAAGACACAAGCAGCACCTCAACAACAACAGCAGCAGCAGACAAGTGCCCAGAACCAGTATGGAGCCCAAAGTGGCATGGCGAGTATGAGTGCGACAAGCCTAACCGGTGCTAACAATGCACAACAGACGCAGCAGAACGCGCACCACAACACGCAGCAACATCAACAACAACAGCAGCAGCAGCAGCAGCAACACTCGCAAGCCGTGGCCCAGAACAGTGGCGGCGGCGGCGGTGGACGCCGAGGCAGGGGAGGTATGAACAACAACAACAACAACAGCAATAGCAGCCAACACCACCAGTACAGCCAGCAGATGATGCAGGCCCAGGGTGTGCACCCCCACCTGCAGGCCGTTCAGGGCGGACAGGCGTATCAGCAGAGCCACATGGACGCGTACGGTGCCGTGGACCCCTCAAGCATTGCTCCAATGGGATACGGATATGCCCACGCCGGTACCATGGCTCCCGGCTTTGGCATGCACGGATGGGGGTATCAGTATGACCAGGATGTGCGCGGGGGCGCTAGCATGGGCGGTATGGGATACTATGACCCGAATGCAGCGCCGTATGCACCTCAGCCTCAATCGCGCGGCGGTAGCAACGGGCGCGAGCACCAGTCGCGTCACTCACAAAGTGGGGCAGACAAGTACAACGGTGTGAATGCCAACAGTATGGATGGAGGCCTGGCCCAAGGCAACCCTGCGCACACAAGCGCCAATGCGGCCGGCGTGCCGCCGCAAGCACAGCACTTTGGCATGTACGGTAATCCGTATGCGGCGCACAATGTGTACGGGCAGTACTATATGGGCACACCCAACCCGTACCAACCCACCTACACCGCACAACCGAAGTTCAATCTCGGGTACCAGGTGTACAACCAGGGCCAGCAACAGCAGCCCCAGCCGCAGCAGCCGCAGCAACAGCAGCAACAAGCACCGCAGCAGCAACAAGCACCGCAGCAGCAGCAGCAGCAGCAGCAGCAGATGAATGCGAAGCAGGGTGGGTTACAGCAACAAGCGGGTCTATCGGGCTACAACATGTACAGCCAGCAAGGCGCCCCTGGTATGGGCAGTGCTGGTGTGGGTGCGGGTGGTATCCCACAGAATTCTGCGGGCGTGGGCGGAGTTGGTACTAATGGAGCCGGAAGTGTGGGCAAGCAGAACCTTAATAACAGTTCGGTATCTTCGGCTTCGCCTGCGCAGATGGCGGGGGGCATGCCGGGTGTAGGAGGGGTCTCCGGTGGGGTTGTCAACCCGTACCAACAGTACGAGCCGCAGCAGCAGCAACAGGCACGTGGCAGTGGAGCTAATAATAGCAACCAATCAGGTGTCAACGGCAGCACTGCGCCTGGATCGGTGGGCAGTTACGGCGGCGCCGGTCGCGGTAGCACCGGCAAGAGTTCGTCTGGAAGCGTAGACCCGTATAAAAGCCAGGTAGGTCACTCTCACGGATAATGGTGTGAATGTCGCGATGACCCGGTATATATTCACAGACGTTGTTTGTGGGTGAGTGTGTGTAATGATAACCGTATGGGGTCTACAGCTAATTGCAGTGTGGTTATTCTGCCGCCGGTTGAGTTTTACGAAACAGAATTAGCAGTACAGGATAGTAGTAGTAATTCAGTCTACTTGGGCTGTGTAGTTGCGATCCCTTACATAAGGTACCTTGCATCAGGTGTTGGAAATAGTCGGAAGTGGTTCTCGTGAAATTGGTGGGCTGCGAAGTGCTGCAACGTGTCTTGTGCATGCTGTTGGTGTCAGAATTGTAGTTTTATTTATTTAATTGTGCAGGCTTCTCTTCTCCAGATGTGCTCGTTTTCTGCTACAATCGGGCTTGTAGTATTGGTATTGGTATATATAATTGCCCCAAAAACGGATTGTATGACCATTCAACTTAATTCATCCCTTCCACGTATCCAGGGCTACGACGAGAGCAAGAACGTAGCGCAAGCACAACAACCCTACGACGCAAGCGGTGCCAACGGCGCATACTACAGCAATATGAACCGAATGAACAACAGTGTCAATGTCAACTCTGTCAGTAAGCAAAACTCATCGGGCATGTCGAACAATCCTTATGGCAACAGCTCATACCTACAGCAGCAGGCGTACGAACAACAACAGCAGCAGCAGCAGCAGCAGCAACACACCAGCAACGACCGTGCCGGCGCCTATTGGCCCCAGCAGTAATTACGCTACTGTACTTATAAGTGTGTGTATACACTGTAGGTAGTCACGACAGGTAGATGGGTATGGGAACGGATTAGTTCTCACCGCTGTCACCGTCGGAGACACATGCTTATTGCTGGGTTCTGATTGAGGGGTAGTTAATGATGGGTGGGTGTATTGTCTTGTATTGGGAGCTGTGGTGCCTTTTAGGCGCTGGGATGGGAAGTGTGGAGCGCGGGTCAGAGCAGTAGAGCTGATTTGCAGGAAACACATGAACAACGGAAGGACGGAACAACAACGCGTGCATCTAGTGAGGTGCATGCTATATATGATATAGAGTATTTATAACGGGGAAGCTTTAATTTATTATCCTCATGGCCACTCTGGTAGCTACAAACGGCCCAGAGGTGTGCCCAAGCAATTGACTATGCCATTGTGGCGTAGATCAGCTGGGTGGAGTTGTAAGCGCTGGGGCTTCGAAGCTGGGTGGTGATGGTGTGCGAGATCAGAATTACCTTATTTGGGAGAACCAGGGACTTAGCCAGTGCGAGTGGCTTTAAGAACACAGCGCAGACAAATGTCCACACACAAATGCGATGTACGAGCACGTGCACGTGTACTGTACGGTGACATGCGACTACATGCACGGGCGTATATGGGAACGTACACGCTTGTACATGCTACAGACCAGCGGAAGGTTGTGTGCAAACGAGAATGTATATGTATATATTTATATTTTGGTATTTATTTAATAATGAAAATAGAACGAACGGCGGGGAGGAGACAGCATCCGAGCGGGGAAGGGCGCAACAACACTATATGTATCGGACGATCTATTCAAGCGTCAGTATTACACCCTATAAAGAAACAGGTCAAATCAGTATCTAATAGGAGACTCGTGTATTCTATGGAAACGCAGATTGCTACTTCCTCTATCTATATATTTTGTTATTGATTTCGAGCATATTGAAGAGATGTATTCTTCGCCATTCATGTGTGCATTGCGCGTTCCCAAGCGGATACAATCAATTCCTTCGGTTAACTATTGCACTTTTTATTGTACACACCTATTTATAATGCTATTTACATGAATTTTTTTAAATGTTCAACAGAATGCGTGAACAACTCATGCTACGGCAGGTTCTGTTACGATTTATAAACAACAGAGATTTTCAAGGGATATAGGAGCGTGCTTGCATCGCTGTCGGGCAAAGCCATATACGGGATACATTGGGCTTTTTACTAGGACCAACATTCAACCTTTATATTTTCGAAGTTGTAGGAAGGCCTTGAGTTTCATACAGAGGGGGATAGTCATGCATTTATGTTATTACATAGCATCAATGCCTTCTTTCAGAGTACTAATTTAACAGTAGTAATTGGCCTACTACTACTAGAGGTTACGTCTTGTTCGATGTCTTGGGCTATTTTCGAAGTATATATATGTATTTACATATATGCCCGTGTACAAATGTGTACATATATGTATTTTGTTTTTTTTCTTCTTCAAAATAAAAAAAATAAAAAAATGAAAAGAAATAAAAATAAAAATACTGCTCCTTCTCAGGTTCTCACTGATGAGTCACAGACTCACAGTGCTTTTTTTTGCACAGTGACAACTGACAGATGAAAGTACCGAACTGTTTAAAAAGAACGCGCGCATGCGAAGTTTTTTTTAATTTTTCAATATTGTTTCTGAAAAGCAGGCCCCAATCCAACAAAATGGACATCCAATTTTTGAAGTGTTGCAAAATCGGTCCTAAAATACATAGCAAAAAAAAGCTGGTGCGGCTTTATATGCTGCCAATGTGAGACATGCACGATGAAATATACATACGAATTACGCAAAGTATTGAGGTATATTTTATTTACATATTTACACATTAGATATAAATTTAATAATAGGCATATTTACATATATATACACAGAACGAACGATCGACATATCGCTAATAAGCAAACGGATCACATTACATGCGATCAGGATTCGTATCTACATATTGATTTTTATCCTTTTTTCAGCCGAAGGTACAGCTTAGAGGGCTCGTTGGTTTTCTGACATCACGCAAACATCACGCAAACATGGTCAATCTGACCAAATTGACTGTGGCCCAGCTCAAAGACGAGCTAACCAAAAGAAGTGTAAGCTACAAAAAATGCAAGCGGAAAGCAGACTATATCCAGACACTTGCAGAGGTATGTCAAATGAAACAAAGTGAGCGATCAACAGTACACTGAATGTAGGCACTGCATTCGTCCGATTCACCATGCAACGTTGACAAACACACACACACACACACACACACACACACACACACACACAACAACACACACACACACACACACAC